CTGAGCCCAAGGGCAGGCTAGGCCTGAACGTCCTGGCATTTGGTGTTCCAGATTGTGCGGCGCGGTACGGACCCACGAAATGTGTACCTGAGTTGTACCAAAGGTGACCTAAGGCTATCGTAGCTAGTAGACCTGGGTTTGTGTTAGGAATAAATTCCCAGCTGGTTGAAATCGATTCGAATCGCCGTCTCTCCCGGATAGTGAGAAACTTGGCTAGTCCCAACATCATAGTAACTGTGTTATGAAACATAATGGTTTGAATGAATATGGAATTACAATACCTGCTATGGTTACTATTGTATGCTTTTAATGGATATACCACATGTTTGGCACAGGATAGTTGCTAATCTAGAGATGGATAGTTATAATTAACCTGATATTGGAACCATAATTGTATAGCTAAGTTAACCGCTTTTATGCAAAATGTTGTCAAGCTATCCCCACTTATACAGCCTTGCATAATCCTTGGAGTCATTTTATTTCTGGTTTATGACGGGTAAGTCTAGCTGAGTACCTTCTCGTACTCAGGGTTTTATTTCCCATTATTGCAGATGGCACTGTGTATCATGGTTATTGTAAGAGTTGCTTCTATCCCGCCATGGATGAGGAGTAAGCCTTGGGTAGGCTTCTTTATTAATCCCTGTCTTTGCTTTTGTGGACCGTGATCCTACTTGGCACTGTATCAAACTATGTTGGAAACTTTATTTTTGAACTTAATTGCTTTCGTTTTATCTATCAAACTCGGTTTGTAATAACTTTTATTCGTACTCTGATGGAGAAAGGTATCTATGAACTTTATGTAATATGAGGTATGTATGTTGAATCATATACGATCTTGGTTGTTGTAAATCGTTTATCGAGACCCGTCGTGGTACTCGATGGACTACCGGGTTTATATGGGTTCAAGTATGACAGTGCGACCGCTTGTGGGCTGCCATTGTACTTGTACTCTTATAAATTGGTCGGTTCTGCAACAACCGATCCCTCTACAATCGCTCGGGGGCTATAGCCCTTAGGTGCACTCACACACCTTCTGGACAAGGACTGGGCAGAGCCCGAGCATGCCTTCTACCTCTGCTCGAGGCACGAGGGCTCGCCCTAGCCCTAGGCTCCCGATCGATGGGAGACCGAGCCTGATCCTTGGCCCCGACCTCAAGCGCAAGCCAGGGCCAATGCTGGAAGCAAGCACCCCGAGCGCCCAAGGCTCTAGGGCTCCTCGGCGCCGCATAGTGGGCGCTGTGCTATCAACCACTACTCCGATAGGGTCACGCACGGGGCATGACACAAGGGAACAAAAACCCTCCGCTGGCTTCAAGGGCTTGGGGGTTCCCGGGCCTGGTCGTTAGCCCCTCCAGCCAGACGCCTTCACCACTAAAGAAGACTCCAGAAGGTGCACCAGGTGGAGGCCGGTCCAAGATGACAAAGCCTGACAGTTAGAGCGTTAGAACAGAGCAGCCAGACGATGCCTAGGGCTTCTCTAGCTCTATGACAAGACCAAGGTCCAGCCGCACCGCTGCAAGGCCCTCCTAGACTTTGGCGCACATAGACCATAGACTAGACTCCCCAAACTACCATGTACCGGACCTACCTCGATATATAAGGGGAGGTCATATCCTACAGAGGGGGAGAAAGAGAGGACGAACAGAACAGATCGTTTGAGTCCTCACGACCGAATAGCTCAAGCTCTGCACTGAGAGCAGAGCCACCCGAGAGGAGTACCAAGAGCTCCTCCCCATTGTCTTCCTCCTCTCCGAGAAGGAGGAGACCTCACCGCCAATGAGCCTAGGATCAGCACCGAGCGATCCCCTGCTAAATCTCTCTCTTACACTCTGTTGTAACACCCCGATTTGGGTGCTCTTGAATACAAGGATCATCAAACTACTGGATGTAGGGCCCCTATAGCTTGAACCAGGATAAACCTCTGTGTCCTCTGCGTGATCTTTGAGTCCTTTGTGTTCTTGAGTCTACCCGAGCCACCATAGACCTCACACATAGTGACACCCAACGAACAACAATGCTTGTCGTGATTTCGACCCTGTGACAGCTAGGCTCACCATTGACTGGCTATTGACAACGGTCAAAAGGGCCAATCATGTCTGTTCTATCTGGATCGGGCGGTCAAGGGGGAGTCTTCCTTCTCTGGTTGCTGTGTCGAGTGGCAAGGGCACCCGACGGCGGCGGGTCGCTAGTGCTCGGCACTCTGGTGGCCCGGGGTCGACGGCGAGTAGCGGAGGAGGTCGAGGAAGGCCGCTTGAACCCGTTGGTGGGGTTCACGACGCCGAAATAGGAGCTAGTCACGGCTACTATTGCGAGGAGCGGACGCGGTAGCGGTGGAGGTTCGATGAGGGCGGAGAGGGGTGTTGCAGGCTCGGTTCGACAAAGAGGAGCAGCGAGGGGCGTTGGGAACGGGAGAAAGGAGAGAGGCGGCGGCAGCGAGCAGCTGTGGAGCTGAGGGCTTCCTTTTATAAGCGCGAAGAGGAGAGGGGGGCCGGTTCACGAGCTCAGCTTCATGCCGTCAATGGCGGTCAATTGGGTCATGGCTGGGAGCGCGGATCAAGGCCAGACCAAACTCGGCGAGCGAGATGAAGTCACTGGCAACTACGACGGGCACGCGAGGTGCAGTAGATGCGGCCCTGATAGGTGGGTCCCACCTGGCAGTGGCACGGAGAGAGGGGAGGCGGGGCTGACAAGCAGGGGCCACCCGTCGTGATTGAGAGAGAGGGGCAGCGCGGGGAGGAGGTGGGCTGAGGCCCAGCGCGGGAAGGATTCGTGGGACGGCCAGAGAGAGGAATGGCGGGAGATAGAGTTATCCTTTTTCCCTTTTTGTTTTTGTAGAACATTTTGAAGCTCAAATTCAAACCTTTTTAAGTCAAACTTGTTTTGAAATTTGTTTAAACCATTTGACTTTTCAAAATTGTACACTTTTACACATAGTTTTAAATTTTACATTTAAATTTATTTTTTAAACAAAACTTAATACTTTATTTTATAAGTAGAGTAAAAATTGATTTGCATCTAAACCGAATTTTTATAAATTGAATTACAGCAAACATATTAGCTCTTGAATCCACTCGTGTACTCTATTTGTTTGGCCTCCAGCCTATGAATGCAGCAAACATATGAACTTAATTATGGAATTTTTAGAAAATCACAGTTGAAAATGTGTGTTTGATATATCATAGGTATGCATGTGTGCGTTATTATTATGTACATATAGCTATAGGAGCTTGAATCCACTCGTGTACTCTATTTGTTTGGCCTCCAGCCTATATATGAGTATACTTAGTCTCTGGACTTTAGGCTCTCTAACATATTAGCTCTTGAACAACTGAAACAACACATTGGCTATGGAACTAGCTGCATGGGTGCAACTTATTTGCACAGATCGATCGCTGTCATATATTCATATAGAATAAACCAGGCTCGAGTTTGTGAATTATGCATTGTAGAAGAGAACAGTTTTAACTTAAGCACCCGAGGTGCTGATTTGGCCATCCTTTATAAAAGTATAATTGTTTAGCTAACTGTACAGGGTTTCAGTGTCCATTGTTCTAAGAGCTGAAGGCCAGGGAACTTGAGGCTCGTGAAACAGATCGGAAATAAAATTTAGCACCATGTCAAAATGCTTTTGTTTCTGTGCCCTATCTTTGTGGGATAGAGAGCTACATACATCAACACCTACATGTATTAGCTATTATCAGAGAAATCTTATTTTCCCTGTTTTGCTATAGACTTTGAGTTTGAAGCACTGTATTTTCATAATTCATACAAGACAAGACTGAAGAAAGTCACTGATTTGCTGCAAATGTCACTGCGTTTGGGGCACCAAAAGATTTAACATTGAAGATAGTAGCACAACATTTGCATCCATTGTCATAATTGACAGCATGCCTGTCTTGAATGTCCGAGGTCCAATAGATATTTCCTATTTTGTTCCAAAACTCATAGGGTTGGAACAATGAGTTTTTTAGGTTCATAGAGCTTGCGGAATTTGCAATCATATGTATGATGGGTGAGGCTCCTGCTTTCAAGGAAGAATTTGTTCTAGCATGGATTATTTTAGTTTCATTGTGGTTCATCAGTTGGATTGATATTTTCCTCTTGTGGATCATATTAACTTATTTAACCATGAACTCAATACTTCTTTTATTAAATTTTTATTTATCTATTTGGGGGTTTAGCAATGTTTCAGTTAAGTTTGGGTATTGTTGTATTTAGTATATTTGTTGACCAAAAACTAGCTATTATACCAAACTGTCTTCTAAAGGGTCTCAAGCTCAATGCAATTTTATAGGTACATATTATTTTGGATTTTGGATAGTTGGCAGGGAAGCCTCCTACCTTTTTTTGTTTTTTAAACCCAGCCTAGAAATTCGTTCCGATGGGATTCGGACGGTATCATATTTTTTTAATCATATATGATAGTAAGAATGTAATATCTTTGAAGTGTGATCATGGAAACAAAATTTATGGCCATCTATGTCTGTAATTGCCATATAAGTATATACACATATATACTGAATATATGTTATTGCTATAAATTTGGTTCAAATTTGTAGGACTAATGAGCCAAAATATACATGTATGTTGACAACATATAAATTGACGCATGGCCAAGAACTTTCTAACTTTCTATATATTCGTGTATGTTGTACTTGCATTTCTACTAGTAAAATATAAATAATATCGTACATTAGAACTCTTTTGAAGACAAATTAGGGCATACTATTTTTCTAAGTTTATTTGAATGAAGTATACGAAGAGGGGATGGGTATTCTTTACTGTGTTGTCTTGGCAAACCGAACACAGATGAAACAAAAACAAAACAAAAAACTGCGGCAGGGGCATCCACGTGTTGATGCCCTACTGGTCGCCGCACATCCTTCCAGATAACGGAACTAATCGTATTGCGATGCACCCATTGCTCCAGCGAGAGCTCAAGAACCACCACGAGCCAAAAACTGGAGCCCAGCCCAGGGAAAGCGACGGCCAAACTAAACATGGCGGCGATCCTTGCGCGCGCCGGCGTCACCGCCACCGCCGAGAAAGGCCTCTCGGGCCCTACGGGCCGCCGCCAGCGCAATGGCATCGTCGTCGCGGCGGTCACTAGAACGGGGACCGGTGTGCCACAGGAGGGGGCGCTGGAGCGGCCGGCGTGGTCCGGGGAGACCCCTCTGTCGCGGCTGGTCGGCGCTCTCGTCGCGTTCAAGCCGCTCTACTCGCTATTGAAGCTCGCCTCCCGCGAGGTCATCATCAGGTAGTACAAAATAGAAACCTGCGCGCCGTTCTTTCTAGACATTACTGTTCTTCACTTGTTCTCTTGGGGATGTCGGAGATGTCGGTAAGAATGCCTCTGTGTAGGACGGCGGAGAAGTCGAACATCCCGTGGAGGGAGATGACGAAGGAGGTGCTGGAGTCGGACGTGTACGACACTACTGGATTCCCGGCCTTTGCCGAGAGCCCGAAGCTCTCGGCAAAGACGAGCTGACGCTCGGCAAACTATTTGCCAAGAGCAGCTCTCGGTAAAGAGCCGTCGGCAAAATATTTACCGGCAAATGATTCTTTACCGAGAGCCCCTCTCGGCAAAACATTTACCAAGAGTAATGGCAAGGCTCTCGGCAAACTCTAGCTCTCGGCAAACTGGCGTGCCCTAGTAACGGCCAAACGACCGGTAACGGTGTGACAGCTTCTTTGCCGAGAGCGACCGTCGGCAAAGAACTTCTTTGCCGAGAACGACCGTCGGCAAAGAATTATAAAAAAAAAGATTTGCGGCCGAGGTGGTTTTCAAAAAAATAGGTTTGCCGAGAGCCGACCACCAAGCTCTCAGCAAAGAGGCAGATTTGCCGAGAGCCCTACTCTCGGCAAAGAGTCCAGAGAGCATTTTTTTATTTTTGTTTATATTTCCAGCTTCAACGACACATTTCACAAATATAACACATCATCCACATCACATATATCACAAATATATCATCCACATCACATGTCTCACATTATAATCCATCTAAACATCTCAAATCCAACAACACATGTCCATCTCAAAGTGCTAAGTTCATCTCACACAAGTTCATGTCACAAAGTGCTAATACATGATGAAGAACAACAGGCTTACTCCCAAGGCTCCCACCCTCCCGACGGCAGCTGCTGCTGCGGCGGACGGTGTGGATACGACTGATACCCCGACCCTCCCGACGGCTGCTGATGCGGCGGAAGTTGTGGATACGGTTGGTGCCACGACCCTCCCGACGACGGCTGCTCAGGCACATCATTCGAACCCGCCGATTGATTCTGCACAAAGGAGAAGAAAAATTAGTAATTATAGTAATACAAAGGCATATAATTGTAATCTAAGCGTAGACAAGTCAAAATTTGCAGAACTAGGTATAAAATTGTAATCTAAGCCTAGACACATCAAAATTTCGGTAGCACCTCCCCTGCACGGTGGGGTTTCCAAAACCTGTAAGAAAACCAACGGCACGATGGCCGCCCACCACATATCAACGGCACGATGGCCGGCACACATATATATCAACGTCACGAAGGTCTCCCATCACATATCAACGGCACGATGCCCGACATGCACAGTAAAGAGCTTTTGTTAGAGAAGTTGAACTCACGTATGAGTAAGGTGGGTATGGGTAAGGCGGTGGAGGAGCGAACAGCTCTAGTGGCGCTGGACGACCCATCGTGATGCCAAGACTTGCCACTTACTGAGCCAAGGCGTCAAACCTCGCCCGCTCGGCCTCCCACCTCTGTCGCTCGGCCTCCCGCTCCCTCTGTCGCTCTTCCTCCACCCTAGCCTTATGCTCCTCGAGCGCATGCACCTGGGCCTATAATTTTTCACCACACTATTACAAGCAATTTCGAGGAATGTAAAACCAATGAACGACGAATAAAACAGAAATAACCTGTAGTGCTGCCACACGATCTGGAGAACAACAGGAAGGTACTGTCGAAACTCTGTCTCGGATCGGAGCAGACCATAGAAACTAACACCATCTGCGCATCCTCGGGCTGTCCAAAAAACGTGGACAATTCGAAACAGATACGGTTATTGATATGCAAAGATCTGCATATTTCTAACCGTATCTCTTTCGAATAGGAGACACCTAACTGGGTTACGTGGAGATACATGACTAGGACAAAGAAAGAGTGGTTATACCTTAGGTGGCGGTGAAGTCAGGCTAGCGGGGCCGTGGCAGGTCGGTGCAGTGGCGAGGCGACGCGGTGCGGGCAGACCTGGGGACACCGGGGTACTCCGACTCGGCTCCTGCAAAAAGAAAGAAAGAAGCAAAATAACGTCAACTCAAAAATTCGGCAGCGTCTCCCCTGAACGGTGAGGTTTCCAAACCTGAAAGAAAACCACGGCACGATGGCCGACAACCACATATATATCAAGGAACCACATGCAGCTTAATTATCAACTACTACTACTCTAACTACTACAACTACTACTGATAAGAAACTTATCTTTCCCATCTCATTCAGTTCCATCATTTTTTCGTTCTCAGCATTCAGAAACACTATCAAGCTTAGAAAATTGTATGACTTCGACCAGAAAGCTTACACAATTTCCACTGCCATATCTGGTGGCACAAAGGGAATTGGCAAATATGTTTGTGCATCATTTCAATCAAGTTCGCTTCTCGTGGAACAGTACATGTTTGAATTCACAAGCAATACATTCCCTGTTAATCCTATTTTGCCTTCTCATCATTTCAACCAGCAAATAATTTTCAGACACTTTGCCCTTCTATAGCAAACAATGTGACAAATGGATTTAGGATGCACAGTAATTTAGTAAATGCAGGAATTCTCCTTTTAAGAAATACAAATTCGGATATTTCTATTTTTAACATTATAATCCAGTTAGCCTCTTTTTGCTCACGGAGATAACTTAGTTTATTTGACAAGAAAACAAAGTACTACTACATGATACATTGTAACTGTGCACGAGGAAGAAGTTTTAATTAAATTCTTTAGATCTTTCATCACAGGTGCCAGCTCAGTAGCTGTTTCATCATTCCATATCAATCACCAGCCCATAGCAGCCAAGAATCATCAGTACGGAAGAAAAAGAAACTACTAGTAACTCTCGCCTGAGCTTAAACATATGAGAAACTGTCATCTGAGTTTAAACATCTGAGATATAAACAAAATGTCTGAGCTTAAAACCACACTACATTACTGTCAAGCAAACGACATGCAGCAAAAGATCTTACCCTCACAGTTACCTCTAATAATAATGATAGTTATTTAAATTTAATTGCATTTTATATACATAGCATAAAGCTTAATACTGCTGATTATGTTGACACAAAAAAAATCTGAAATGATTAGTTCTGAGAAGAAATAGATTATGCGAGCGCGCTGCTTAGTTCAGTAGAATAACACAAACATGATATTTTTAGTTCCATGCACTATAGCTTTATTTATGATTCATCTCTTTGTTCATCCCGAGTTTGTATGACTCAATGTAATTGTCTATCAGCATCCGGTAGTAATATCTAGAACTGCCGTTTTCACACTTCAAAAGGAAGCAAATGGAATTTTGGACATACATCTTAGCCTGTGAGACGAGGAACTTGGTGTGGGACTTGAATTTTGACAGAGAATTTCAAAGAAATTTTAACGAAGCTAGCATTCGCCTGAGAGAGTACCGTGGATCAGACCTATATCCTCTACAGCCACGCTTGAAGATGTTGGTGCCTCTCCTCCTCGCTCCTATGCTTGGGGGAGAGGACGGCGCGCCACTCCTCCTCGCTCCTCTGCTTGCGGGGGCGGGACGAATGATTGCGTCGTTGGCGTGCGGGGGCGAGACGCCGGCGGCCGTGCGTGGCGGGGCTGGGGCGGGCCGGTGGCCGCCGCTGGCGCGCGTGGGCGGACATGGCAGGATGGGGCGGGCTGGCCGGGCTGCGGCAGCGGCGAGGCTCGGGCGGAGTGGCGGCGGCAGCACGCGCGGCCGGGCGTGGCGGGCTACGGCGGCGGCGGGGCTGCGGCCGAAACGGTTCACCTTGCGCGGTTTGCGGGGCTGCGCCGAAACGTTTAAGTGGTGAAGCCACTTTGCCGAGAGCCAGATCTGGGAGGCTCTTGGCAAACCTCCCCCCTTTGCCGAGAGCCCCCAGATTCGGCTCTCGGTAAAGTTATTTTTTTTTCAAATTTCGTTCGAATTTTTTAACTAGCTAACTGCACAAAAAAATAAAAAAAAATAAAAATTATTATTTGCCGAGAGTAGCTCTCGGCAAACCTCTTCGCCGAGAGCCAGCTCTCGGCAAACAATTGATCCAGGCCAGGTAAAAAAAAGAAATCTGCGCCGAGAGCGGGCCTAGTTGCTCTCGGCAAAGAGCCTTTGCCGAGAGCAATCCCCTGAAGCTCTCGGCAAATAATATCCAAAAAAAAATTAATAAACAGCAAACGGCTCCGGAAAAATACGAAATTTTGCCGTGTTACAACTTATGCTCTCTAATGGCTATACAAAAAGTTTGGAACTCCAAAACTAATTTGACCGTGACATTGTTTGAAAATCCTAATGACTCCTTCTCAACTTTATGAAACTTATTCGGAGATGTCTTAAGAATCATACGCAACCACTTGTGCGAAACATTTTCAATTTTTTACCACAGCCTCCAAGTGTGATACCATGACTTCATTGCAAATATCACAATTTTCCGACTTTGTTTCCTTTTTTAAGAATTTTTAAATCGTTGGGCGACATATGTTTCGTGGTCTTCGATTCGTAAAATAAAAGGTGAAAAAACGTCAACAAGTTGTTATTTGCCCTCAATAACGCATAAATAGCATGAATATCATTTTCTACTTAATTTTTTCCCGTGTTTAAATCAATCGCTGTTCAAATTTTAATCGATTAAAAAAACTCCTTGAAATGCAATTAATTAATTATATATAGCAAATAATTACAAAAATACACAAAATTTTAATATTGAGTACAACCTATAGTATGTCTATAGAGAAAAAAGTTTGGAGCATATGAAAGAAAAAATAATTTAATTGGAGACAGTTAGAAGAAGAGAAACACATACACATGAAATATAGAAACCACATTTGTCGAGAGCCTGGGAGGGGCTCTCGGCAAATATTTGCCAAGAGCGGCTCTCGGCAAAGAGTTTTGCCGAGAGCAGTGACGGAGCGGCTCTCGGCAAAGCGGTGACGCCGTCAGGGCAGGTCACGGCTATGGGCCCGCGATAATGTTTTGCCAAGAGCCTGATTTTGCCGAGAGCGCGGCCTACGGCAAAGGACCGTTTTGCCGACGGGCATTTTTTGGCGAGCGCAGCTCTCGGCAAAACGGCCCACTTCGCCGAGAGCTGTTGCTTGCCGAGATGCAGGCCCACGGCGATCCTGTCACTTGCCGACGGCCGATGTTTGCCGAGAGCTGCTCTCGGCAAACGTTTTCTTTGCCGAGAGCTCGCGTTTTTGCTCTCGGCAAAAATATAGGATCTCGGTAAAGGACGTTTTTCCGGTAGTGCGAGGTGTTTGAGAGAATCCAAGACCCAAACCTCGCTTACCCTGACTGTGAGCTTACTTCCCCTTTCCTTTCCTTTCTTTCAGTTTCGTTGATTAAATAATTTCACCATTATATTCGACCCAAAGATAGTCTATATGAAGTACAATAAACTGGAGTGATATATAATTAACTCCTTGTTTCTCTTGATCAGATTATCTCAACCCGTTTCATGCCTACGACGAAGGGAATCTATCATGGCTGGTAATTCACTTTTTTGTTCTCATTGTTTTTTATATACTCTGATAATCTGCAGCTCAACTTTTCGTAATAATCCTAGGCTGCCGTTCTATAAAATCCTAAAAAATGTGACACCGTTCTATTAAATCCTGAAAATATGATACCCAAAACGTCTTGGCTATTTAACCGACGTGGAAATAACAGCTGAAGGATATCATATTTTGTGTACGCTCATACTGTTAATTTGATGTTGAATAAGCTAGGCTGCAGCAGAGGCTGAGCCGGCAACAATGTCAATAGCAAAGAGGGCCATACCTGATGCTACATCGATCGAAGAGGCGAACCAAATCGTCCGCGGGAACTGGCTGAATGTAATTGAGGAGCATCATCTCAAATACTCGGGGAACTGTCAGGTAAATGACATCTTGGACATTGGCTGCTCTGTTGGAGTAAGCACCAGATACCTCGCCGAGAAGTTCCCTTCAGCTCAAGCTGTTGTAAGCCCTCAAATCTCTGCTTAAGCTCCTTTTGTGTATTGTCTCGTATGGAGCCATAATAAGCTCCAATATCTTTATATTACAAATTAATTATCAACAGTACGATGCCATTATTGGTATAATTTTATCTGAATCCCATTGCATGGACCATTCACGAGCAACCCATGTTCACCAAAATAATAATCGAGTAGTAGATAGTAAGTAGCTTGTATACATTGTAGTCTTTTCTGCGTATTCATGGCACAGTAGTTGTGCACAACCCTGCACTCAATTCAGAAATGTTTGTGAATAATGCAGGGGCTCGACCTATCACCATACTTTCTTGCTGTGGCGGCACAAAAGGAACAAAACTTGTTACGGCCAAACCCTGTTCATTGGGTTCATGCGAATGGTGAAGCGACTGGGCTGCCCTCTGATTCATTTGACCTTGTTTCCCTTGCTTATGTGGTAAATTTCTATCAGATTTAAAATCTTCTTTACATGGATTTAAAATCTGTAATAGTGGTTACCATAAATTTATCGCTAAAAATCTCTGCAATCAAAAGCACAGAATATAAGTCACCACCAATGCAGTAACGCCCCTTCTAAAAAACCTGCAGTGCCATGAGTGCCCAGCACGAGCAATAACCGGATTGGTGAAGGAAGCATTCAGGGTCCTTCGCCCAGGAGGAACAATCGCCTTAACAGACAATTCGGTAGGAATTTCTTTTGTCTCGCTTTTCCTAAGAGTACAAGTATGCAAACTTGTTAAAAAATCGACTAACATAACTCCATTTTTCATTCTAAAATCCTTTGCAGCCAAAATCCAAAGTACTTCAGGTAAGCTTCAACAGTCAGCACCATATTTCAACACCTCAATCATCACAGAAGGAATGACTCACACTGGACGATAACATTTATTTCCATGTATTCCAGGAACTATCCCCAGTTTTGTTCACTCTGATGAAGAGTACCGAGCCTTTCCTTGACGAGTACTACATGCTGGATTTGGAGGAGACAATGAGAACAGTCGGCATTGTTAACGTTTGCTCCATCCTGACAGACCCCAGGCACAGAACAGTCACTGCAACCGTGCCTTACTAATTGGGTCAGACCTTCAAATCCCAAACCCGGCCGGTACACAACAATTGACTATTTAAAATTTTGTATGCTTACTGGGATGGTTGCATTTGTATAAAGTTGAATAATATTCTGCATGCCTGTGCACGCAGTGAACAACCAATCAAAGTACACCAATTTATGAAGTCCAACACTACGACTGTTATGATCAGATGATTCAGGGAACCAATCTAAAAAAAACTCATGTGATATTGTGGCCAGGAATCACTTTCATGAACCTTAACTCTGATATATTCATCAGCTGGTACCCAACCAATCAGCATTGCTGTTGATCTGAGGTATAAATCAAAAATAAAACATACGCGACTTATTTCCAGTTGCACACGAGTTGGTGCTGCCAACTGTATATTTGACTTTGGGTTGTACCTAATAATTCTCAAAAGGCTAGAACCAAGGCCTTAAGTAATTGTGCAATGGAAATCAATCGTATCATCTTGGTTACCCATGACATAACCATTCTTGCAGTAACACGATTAAAATTTACGTCCTAAGTATTTTTTCCACTCAACTATATATGAGTTAGCCTATACTTCAATCTCACCTTCCGTTCACTGTTAGAGCATCTCCAATAACTCCCAAAACTGTTTCACAAACCAGATTTTATGCAGTCATAAAATCGAAGTCCAACGGAACCCAAAAGCCATGCCCAATCTTTAGGCTCACCAAAAACACCAGATTAGAGCATCTCCAACAGTTCCAAAAAAAAAGTTGGTGAGTCAATGAATTTTTCATGTGGCTAAAAAAATTGGGAGCATATTTGTTGGCTTTCTACAACAGTTTTTAAATCTCGCTCCTAAAATATAGAAAACTTTTGCTTCAGGAATACTGGACTATTTTCAAACCACTTTTATTCTTTCTTTCTCTCCTACATTTGTATTTAGAATCTTGTCCTACTTCGTATTCTTTCCCACATCTTTCCACCTCCAGAATGGCCGATCGATAGATGTGCGTATATTTTCGTGCGACTAGGTCGATTTTTCCATGCGCAAAGATTGGAAGTTGAGATAGGGAGCTGTTGGAGAGCAGTTTTTTTTCAATCTTGCAAAAAAATCAAGATTGAGAGTGGGTTTTTGGAAACTCTTGGAGATGTTCTTATGCAACTCAAATATTCGACTGCCCTCCACCCTCCCAATTGTTGATTCCACTCCATTGCTGCTCCAAAATAAATCATGTGCACCTTCTTTCATGCCTTCAAGGACAACATCAAGTGTTTGTATCCTTCTGCGATAGCCCTGCAGAGATCGGGGGTGAGTTCCCCTTTCTATGAGTAGATCAAGCGGTTCGTAAGGTTTGTCGTACAACTATGAATAAAAAGCCTCTCTTTTCCACTACTAGGAAAATAATTTTAGGAGACAACTCTGATTAACGAAGGTGGGCACACCTAGCAACTGCCTCCATAAAAGGTTATGGTGCCTTCAAGAAAACTCTCGCCCTGAAAAATCATTTATGGAGGTGGACGTGCTAAGGCAACCGCCTCTAAAAATCATTGATTAATAGAGAAAGTGATCTTAGAACGTCCGTCTCCATAAAACAACTACACAGGAAAAGGATCTTGGTTTGCTTTGGGTATGTTTATCTAACAAACCCCATGAATTGTTTAACTCCATACATGAACACCGGTGTGAATTGTCTCCCATTAACCTAGGTTATGTCCATCTGTTGTAGCAAAAGCATGCAAATTTCATTAAAACACTAGATAGTGACAAATCTAGCACTATAACAAAGAAAAATACAATCTTACAGAGTAGTAATATGTCCATTTGTTCATATCCTCATATGAGACAGTTTGATTTTCTATTTTTCTGAGACAAAATAGAGTTTCTTTTTTGGTGTAGCAAGCGTTGATTTAAATTGAAATTTATACAGAATAGCCTTTCCTTATGTGTACTATACTTTATCGTGTACAGAAAATACAGTCCTATAATAATCGAAGAAGTAAACGTACCTTTGTTCTACAAACTGGCATAGCTTGGCTTGAGGGCACCTCTGCTGCGAACGCCAATGCCGGCATGCTCGACCGGGATAGCCCCACCGCTTTTCCTCCAAAAGGACGTGTCAGCCACCACAGCACCTCCACTGCCGCCTCGCCGCAAGTCAACCAGGCACAAATCCATTTCCACGTGGAGGGTGAAAGGTCCTAATATGGCTAGAGGGGGGTGAATAGCCTATTTAAAACTCTACAAATGCACTAGATCAATTTGTTAGTAAACTAAATGGCAAAATGCAAACTTGCTCTAGCTCTACAAGGGTTGCAAGCCACCTACCCAACAATTCTAGTTGCTATGATCTCTAGTCACACAAGAGGTGAAGTCACTACTCACTAAGAGCTCTCAACAAGGCTACACTAAAGAGCTCCACTAGATGAAACTAAGCTACCAGCAAGCTCTCAAAACTAGTTACACTAAAGAGCTTGCTACAACTAGTTTGTAAGAAGGTAATGGAGTGAGTAGAGTGCTTATACCACCGTGTCGAGGAATGAAACAATCACAATATGAAAGTCAATTCAATCACCAAGAGAAATCCAATCACACAAGAGACACAAGATTTTTCTCCCGAGGTTCACTTGTTTGCCGGCACGCTAGTCCCCGTTGTGTCGACCAATACTTGGTGGTTCGGCGGCTAAGAGCTGTTGCATGAACCTCGTCCAACAAATGGACACCGCAAAAACCGACCCACAAGTGAGGTAACTCAATGACACGAGCAATTTACTAGAGCTACCTTGCGGCTCTTCACTGGAGAAGGTGCAAGACCCCTCACAATCACCAAAGCCAGCCACGAACAATCACCAACATGTGCCGAAGCTCTTCCGCTGCTCCAAGCCATCTAGGTGGTGGCAACCACCAAGAGAAATAAGAAATCCACAGCCACAATGATTCCCAAGTGCTACTAGATGCAATCACTCAAGCAAATGCACTTGGAATCACTCCCAATCTCACTATGATGATGAATCATTGATGGAGATAAGTGGGAGGTGTTTGCTTAGGCTCACAAGGATGTTAGGAATATCAAAGTGCCAAGAGTGTGAGTCCCAAGCTGGCCAAACCCCTTTTATAGAGCTCCCCAGATGAATAGAGCCGTTAAGGACGAAGGGGAGCTTTCCGCGCTGACCGGATGGCTTTGAATGGATTTGTGCCTCAGCGTCCTGTCATGGGATGGCCTCCACATGTCAATTTCTTTGAATACCACGCGTTGATCTTGAACGGTCACTAAACCACTTTGATCGTAGTTAAAGAACGACCGGACGCGACGCTCCAATCACCTGATGCACGAACACGAGGTGTCCGATCGTTTCCAGTAAGCATCTAGAGGCGTTTTCTATGTACCGGACTCGTCAGGTCACTGGGGACTGGGCACGTCCTAGAGTCCAGCCGGTTCAAGCCACAGGGCAGTGACATCAGCATACATCAGTGATGACCTGATGCACCCCCTGCGCATCCGATCACAAACACTATTTAGAGTCTGATCATGAGGCTGCCCTCCTCCATCTCTATGCACAAAGACTCGACGCACGGCCAGTGTTAGGTCGCTGTGTTCGGTCGCTCCTTCTCGCTCTCACTCAGCACCACCAGCTAAAAATGACCGGACACACAGGTCCACCCTAAATGCAGTGTCCGGTCATGGACTCTCTTCTCCTTTTCTTTTTCTAAGTCCACAACCACTTCGCCCTTGCTTCCAAGTTGCTAACTACAGAGTGTAGAACTTGTGTGCACGTGTGTTAGCATTTCTCAAAGCATTTTACAAGGGCCAAAGTTAGCACACTAGGTTCCTAAATGCATATGCAAGAGTCATGTCACCTAATGGCACTCGATAACCGCTTAGCCAAATATTTTCCCTCTTTATAGTACGGCTATCGATCCTAAATCACTCACACCCTCTATGGTGTCTTGAGTGCAAACCAAAAATGGCTCCTATCAATATACCTTTGCCTTGAGCCCATTTTTGTGTCTCTTTCTTCTTTTCCAAATGTGAAGCACTTGATCATCTCTTTTGTGGACCTTCACCATGACCATCATCTAGCTTCACCACTTGGGTTGGACCACCTCATCTAAATCACACACTTAGATCAAAGGTTAGTCCTAGGTTTCATCAATTATCCAAAACCAAACTAGGGCTTTCAATCTCTCCTTTTTTGGTAATTGATGACAACCTATTTACAAAGATTTTTAATGAAATCTTTTTGGATTCATGTTACTTGCCCAAGCATTTTACCTTGTGTAAAGGATATGGACAAGTTTCATAAACCCAAATTGGTAGCATTAGCTCCCCCTACATATGTGCTAAGAGTTTGGATTTGAAAGCTTGCACATATGCATGGATTAGAATTGTGGGGAAGTAATGTCTACCAAATGATGCTAAGGTCTAAAGAATGGACCTTTGAAGCATGATACCAATCGGAGTTGCCATTTGAACACCATCCTTACCACCATGATTTGCTAAATATCACTTGAAAGACACAAAGAGCTAGATACCTTGTGAGATCAACATTAGAATCAAGGATCTAGTACTACTTGTAAAAGATCAAGGAATATCTAGTTATCCTATGCATGCTAGTTTTTCATTTCATCAATCATTTTTCTAGAATCTAACATACACCACACAAGCATGGATAGGAAATTTAGAACTTGTGCCATGCAAGCAAACATATGTAATGCACATTCAAATGCAACATACAAGTTTATGAGCTTGCTCCCCCTACTTGTGTGCTTCAAAATTTAATTGATCCCCTTACAATGTCATTTCATTTGTTTGCTCCCCCTATCTTACTATCTTTGTGAATTTCTCTCCCCCTTTGTCAACAATTAGCACAAAAGGTGAGCTCAAATTTTAGATAGGTTGGGGTGAAACCATGTGAAGTGAGGATTATTTTCCCATATTTGGTTTAATCTAGATTATTTGCAAAAGATATTTAACTCGGTTTGATACAAAGACAAGCTTCTTCACACCTCCAAATAAGGGCTATCTTG